GGCTGAAAAATTACCTACTGAAAAGGTTTATTAGCAAGAGGCACAAGGCAGCTTCAGCTCACAGAGCTGCTGAAAAAAAGTGTATGTAGAGCTACAGCTTAAGAGCCTGTGCCCAGAGGAATTCACACTATAAGGCACTAAGCCTGCAAATGCATGCACACTTTTAACTACGCTGCCATGAATTATCCCACGTGCAGGCTCAAATCTCTAACAACACTGGGTATTCTGGAAATAAGCTTTTGAGGGCCATGGACAATTCATCCTTTGAAATTCTGTACTTCAATAAATAAACTTCATAAAACTTTCCTAGGGTCTATGTATGCAGAGAAATATATAGATAAAAATATGCTTTTTTTTTGCTTTTTTTTTTTTCTAAAATGCATAACTTTGTGGCCAAGCCTTCTCAACAGTTGAACGAAATCCAAGGACAGTCCAATAACACCAATGAAACATTGATGTAGCAAAACAAAGTTATTGATGTGAATATGGATGCTTGATCGAAGCCAATCGTTTGAGAAACAGAAGATGAAAAGGGAGAAAAGAAGAGTGAAACAATAATAACCAGAGCTTACAGAAAGTCCAGCTTATTTTTACTGAAGTGGATGGCAAACTACTAACCAAAATTTTTAAATGTTCTGAAATGAGTTATAGAAATTTCTAATTTTCTTATCACACAGAAAAGATAAAAAAATGCCATGTTTCTTAAAAAATAAACAACATTGGGATTCCCATGCTAAGGTCCCAGCATCAACCATTTAGATAACAAAGTGTTTCCATGTGAAAACTGTTTTTTTTTAGAAAATTTCCAATTCCCCCCTTCCAAAAACAGTCATGATGAGGTGACGACAGCCTTACCTCATTTATACCAGCAATGAAGATTCCCATGGTTAGGCCCAGCAAGGTGTCCCTTTCAGATCAGTGCCTAGTTAGGCAGCTGATACAGCATTTTAGTGATGCTAAGGCAAATTAAAGCTGTCCGAGGACCAGTGATATCAACTGCCCATCTCTCTGTGTGCTTCCTGCACTGCGGGGATGTGGCCAGGGACATGAGAACCCACTTTGGCAGCTGCACAGCTGTGTGCTTATCATAGTTTTAAATGTTTGGGCTTTGCAAAAATACCAAGTGAAAATATATTTCCTTCATACCGTTCACTGAGAAGCTCCTCTCCCTCCTTGGGAATAACCCGTCAAGCCCAATTTAGGAGGGCTGTCTTGCAGGATCTTTGTCTCCCAAAGGTCTCTGGATAAACTGCTCCATGCAAGTTGCCTCTGGCAACTGAGATCCCCACTCAACTCTCCCAGCATGGTCATTTCCAACTGTTTGTTTAACATCTGCAGGCTTGAGCTTTGTCAACACCACAAGGCAGATTTCTGTCCATATGCAAGACTCGTTATAGGTAGTGGTTAGACAGCAGATCACTCGTTTCACACTACATCACAGCACGCACCTCTTCTGCCTACATCAGCCCTGGCCTAAGTACCACAGGCCTCCTCCTGATCCCTGGCTTCCTTCCCATGGGGTCAGCATGTCCCCAGGGCACATGGCTAGACCAGAGAGCATGGAACAGCAACGTGCTGCTGAGCTGGGACCATCCCAAACATACATGCCAAACATGTTATTGTGGCAAGGTGCCCAAGTCCAACAAGCTCCACCAGACCGTCAGACTGTGAACGAAACACCTGCCAAGTAGGATGTCACAAGACTTCTTTCAGCACCTTAGGCAAACTTGATGCCTTGGAAATTCTCCAGCTACCTCCCATTCACCTAACCTGATCTTCAACACAAGACAAGTACAAGTAGGTAGGTAAGTCTTTAACATTAGGTTGAGATTAATTAATATGACTCTTAAGGCCTAGTATCATTTTCCTCCTGTCACTTCATAATTGTCTACGTAGTTTAGAAATCAATTTTCAAAGTCAACTCTTTACTGCCACTGACACCTACCTGAGACGAATGTTATAAAGAAGAGAAACTCAGTTACTTACTTCACTTTTTAATAATGTTTGGTCTTGCAAAAGAAACTTTCCTGTTTCCACGGGACTTCACACCTAGCAATCACTATTCCAAAAACATACCTTACCCGTATAATTCTTTTTACTTCTTAGAAGTTTAAAAATACAAGTAAAGGTCATATGCTAATTTGGTATTTCAAAATCATACTCAGACCTGAAGCTTCATGAAAGTAAGTTTGATTATGACACTTGATGTACTCTACATATAGGACTAGTTTAAAATTACTTGTTATTGGTTTATGAACTCAGTGGGGTTGTTGGGTTTTTTTTTGTTTGCAGTAAGACATAATTTTAAGAAGCCCTGCGTAGTAGAAAACAAAGATTTTGCTTTGATTTTTGCCAAAGATTTTTTTTTATCATTGTCTTGCTAAAATAACAGCAGATGTAACAAATACAAGTACTTTTTGAAAATTCTTAAGCAAACACAGCTCCCATTTCACCAAACTGCCATAACAAAAATAACGTAGAACTGCAATAAAATTTCTTTTTATCTGTCTTCTGTTAGTCAAATGCATAATACTTCACCTATTTTTCCTTGGAATGTGTGAATTTTTCAATACCAATATAGAAAAGCAGATATTTAAAAAAAAAAAAAAAAGGGGGGGGGTGCCCTATCATTTCTGAGGAGCATTGAAGATGTGCATAATACTTAGACTGCTATTTCCCATATTCATTTCACCATTTTATCACTCTCCTGTATTCCTTCATCCTTATCTTCGCTCTTGTTCTTGCATCATTGTTACCAAGTTTGTAACCTCTTCAGAGCAGGCTCATTTTTTATGCAATGTTTGACACAATAGAGAGCAGCTTTCCACCACAAAGCAATATAATCCAATTTATATCTATAAGAGTATTCTTTTATAAAAGAAAATCACTTAGGTCTTAAATTGTCCTTTTATATTAGCAAACTTTCCTCTTCACTGATTTGGCTCAGAGGAACAGCTAGAAAAAAATGACTATTTAAGTTACGAATTAAGCATACCAGATCGATAGTTATGTTTAAAGGATGATCCTAAAACCATCAGCTGTTAATATCACCATGGTATTTCTGAGTTGGTGACAAACTGAGAAGATACACTGAACTCCTGAGAGTTCCTCCCGAGAAAATCCAAGTGTTTTAGGGTGGCTGCAGCTGTAGTAGATCATCACTTCTGTCACATTCACAAGATTTTCTTTATAGCCAAAGCTGCTATAGAAAAGTGGCAGAGCAAAGAGTTGTACAGTGCAGTGTTCTGTAACTACGTAAAACACAATTAGGTATTATTTAGATCTAATTCTTCAACTTTGGATTTCCAGTCTGAGAAGCTTGCATGCTGCCCACACGGGCCCTTCTGACTAGATAGCTTGTACATTTTAATCAAATCACTTTCAAGCACCTGGATTCCCAGTAGCTGGAATTAGCTGCTCAGCTACTGTGCACTGCAGCTCAGGAGACGGCAAAAAGGGCTGGAAGTCTGCAACTTGAAAAGGGATTCCACGGCAAGGACAGGCTAAATAGGCCATCAATTCTTCAAGAGCTTGAAGGTCATTCCTTTAGAAGGGTTCTGCTGCTTAGCTCACAGGGGGAGAAAGGTAGCTTACTCATCTCCAAGACAGCTCATCCGGTGTCTTTATTTGCAATTAAAAGGTAATCTAGAGCCATTCATAAACGTGGCTGTAGAACAGACAATATTGTCATTTCTTGAGCTGTTTTAGAGAACAAATGGAAAACAAAATATGAACAAACAAGATTTGTTCCATATTTAAGGGTCACACACTCATTTAATTACGGATGGGACCAGCAATATTTAACACTTCAGCAAGTTTGCTGATGACACCAAGCTGTGTGGTGCAGTTGACACACGGGGGGGCAGGGATGCCATCCAGAGGGAGCTGGACAGGCTTGAGAGGTGGGCCTGTGTAAATTTCATGAGGTTCATCAAGGCCAAGTGCAAGGTCCTGCATCTGGGCCAGAGCAATTCCAAGTGCAAATACAGGCTGGGTGAAGAATGAATGGAGAGCAGCCCTGAGGAGAAGGACCTGGGAGTGGTGGCGGATGAGAAGCTCAACATGAGCCAGCAATGTGTTCTTACAGCCCAAAAAGCCAACCATATCCTGGGCTGCATCAAAAGAAGCATGGCCATCAGGTTGAGGGAGGTGATTCTGCCCCTCTGCTCTCATGAGACCCCACCCAGAGCACTGCTTGCAGCTCTGGGGCCCCCAGCACAAGGAGGACATGGAAGTATTAGAGTAAGCCCAGGGTAGGGCCACAAGGATGATTAAGGGGCTGGAGCACCTCTCCTATGAAGACAGGCTGAGGGAACTGGGGTTGTTCAGCCTGAAGAGAATGTTCAGGGGAGACCTTATAGCAGCCTTCTAGCACTTAAAGAGGGCCTACAGGAAAGCTGTGGAGGGACACCGCCACGTAGTGTAGTGATAGGACAAGGGGTAGTGACTTCAAAATAAATAGGGTAGGTTTAGATTAGATATAAGGAGGAAATTCTTCACTCAGAGGGTGGTGAGGCAGTGGCACAGGTTGCCCAGAGAAGCTGTGGATGCCCCATCCCTGGGCTGGATGTGGCTTTGGGCAACCTGGTCCAGTGGGCGATGTCCCTGCCCAAACCAGTCTACGATATTATGGATGAGACCTTCATGGTGTGGGAAGGAAATTATTCCTGCCTGAAGCTTCTGAGTTCCCATTGTAATGTCTAAAAACTGCAAGCAAATAAAGGAACTTCTTACCCCTTATAGTTGAAGGTGAGGTTACTTATATTACTGACGATTTAAAGCATAGGATCAATAAAATCATGCAGCAAGGAGCGCTTTGCCTGGTATGTTTACATTGATATGTTGTTTACTTAAACATATGCTCAATTAGATATAACTACTGTAAAAAAAAAAAAAAAAGGTTATTTTCCTCGTTTTGTCAATTTTACTGCTACAATAAGCTAAACATGAAACTAAATGGTAATGCAGAAACTGAGCCTGCAAATAAGACACTGACAAGCTTTTATTTTACTTTTTATTACAAAACCATAAAAAAGGTCAGTTAACATTAAAAGATTTAAATTAAAACTTCACCAGCACATCAGACTACCGAAAGTGAAATAAAAGTAAAAAGAAAATGCATGCAATGCATTTTGTTCCCCATTATGAGCAGTCAGAACACAGGAATTTGCCATCATGAAAAACACTGTCCAGCCATTCTGCCTCTACAGCTGCAAATGAGCAAGAGGCAGAGCTTCAATAAGTCTCTAATTTTTCCTTTTCAAAGCAAGTCTAAGTGCAGCAAAAGACACAAAATGCACTATTCTTATAAGACAATTTTTAGGTAAGCTGAAAAATACAGCTCACTGTGAGAACTTTTTTCTGCTTCACGAATATAAGAGAAGAGAATGTATAAAATATCTAAAGTCTATTAAAATTTCAGTTAAATCAGTTAAGCTCTTAGATTTAACTGAAAAAATATGCAGATATTGTAAGGTGATTGAGACTTTTATCATTCACAATATATTCATAGAATTATCATACACAGAAAGATGGAATTGATGACTTTTTAAAGTCTAATTTTTTCATAGAATGCACTTGATCAACAATTCATTTGCCAATTAACACAAGCATTGCCCCCTGTATTTCTTCGGAGGTTGACAGACAGATACAAATATGCAGGAGAATACTTTGCCTTCGTAATTATTTTAGTTCAAAATCCACTGTTTAGCAAAGATTAATCTACTTTCAGGAAACATTTGTAATGCTGAACTATTTACTCTGATTGCCACTCTTTAAAAATTACACTCTAAAAGAATATATTATGTGTGTAATGCTGTAGCACTTATGATGCTTAGATTTATGATAGTTGGAAATAAGAATACTCAAAAATATCTTCCTTTTCCTGAGGTTTAAAAAAAAAAATTAAAAAAAATCAGGGATGGAGGTACACTCTAACATAAGTATTTAACTATTCCAGGATCCTCAAAATATGGGAACAGCTTGTACAAATCTTAAGATACTATTAAACAGATATTCTGTCACTGCAGGAATTAACTGAAGTGCAGTCAGTTTCATTTCTGTTACCTTCTGAGTGCACTACCCATAAGAAAAGCAAGTTCTTGAGGCTGCTAGGAAGGAGTGGAATTCCAGAATTAAGCTACAAGACCCAGTCAGTTTTCATTCTGCAAAACAGTGAAATAATCAATGTGCTGAAACTTCAGAACCTCATTTCCCCAGCTGGTCCAGCCAGGCTGCAGGTTGCGAGCAAACAACTCCAAGCACTCCACATCTGGTTTGACAAACTCTGCCAGAACTGCTGTGCAAGATAAGAAGAAAAAAAAAGTTGAGGATAACAATGACAAAGGTACAAACAGCGAGAGTAATCAAAAATATAAAAATAAATAAAATCTCCCCTGTGCTGTTAGCAGATGAAAAACGGAATGTTTCATTAAAAAAGGGGAGAGACAGCAAATTAATTTTAGAGTTTTGATTAAACAGCTGGACTATTTGTAGTGAGAAAGTCATTTAAAATAAGTGCCCTTGAGATTCTGCACAATGTGGTCAAGGCCTTCAATAGTCTTGATTTATTGGTTTTCATTTAAAGAAAGGGAATGAGGATTTATTTCATCATCTACATGGGTGAGTTCTAAATTTCTCACAAATGTCAACAAAACACCTCCTAAAGGCTCAATTAGCTCCTATAACACAAGGGCAACATTTCTATAAATAGACAGGCTCCTTCCTTGATTAAGATTGCACTCTTTTCTGCTGCATCTTAAAAGGGGATAAAAACATTTTTTTTTAATGAAAAAATAGTTGAAAATTAAAAAAAAAAAAAAAAAAAAACACCAGTTTAAATAAACATAGCATTAAAAGGATTATAAAAATGCAAGGGCTTTTTTTTCCCTCCACAATAGCAACTTGGCAACTAAAGAAGTATCTATGTAACTGTGTTCTTTCATTCAGTAACAAATCTCAAATTTCTTCTACAGTTGGACATTTTTATTGTTTAAAACTCAATAAATACATGCCTATCACACATCAAGTGTGATTATGATTATTCTTGGAGTGATAGAAGAAGACCTTGGTTATAACATTTCACCCAAGAAGTACTACTGCAAACACCTTATTGTTAAATGCGTTACCTGCCACACAGAGACATTTATTTGGTGGCTGGGTCAAAGAAACTCTTAACCAGGTTTCAGGAAATAAGTTACAAATTCATTACCTATAAAAACATCCATGAGAAAAGCAAAGGTTTAAGGAATACCCTTCAATACAAAGGGGGAAGAAAGACTGAAAAACATATTTATACTAAAAATTATGTCCTAAGCTTTTATTTTTGTGACTGAGGACAAAATGACAAAAGCTTAGAAATTATTTCCTTATTTAAAGTATATTTAAAGCATATCAGGTTCAGTTCTGTTCAAATTTCTCTGAAGTCTCTGAATTTCTGTAGCTTAAAAGTACAGTTCAGAAATCCTATAGTTTGACATCTCTTCAGATATGATTATATCATAAAGCAAAACCACACCTAATCAGCATATATTAAAGCATGAGAGGGAATGCTTTTTTGGGGTTCAGTCCAAGTTCTGACTTTTTGCACCGAGTTTGCCAGACACAGACTGCCCATGTGAGACAGCTGCTCTTGTCATGGACTGCTCTTGCTGCAGAAAAATAAGCATCCACTTCACATGCTAATGAGTGTTAATGAACCCCAGATGCATTCCCCACCTAAATGACTGCTTCCTTCAAAACTTACTTAAATATTTTGTAATGGGCATTTTCCAACATTCCTCTATTTTGGTACTACATATAAATCCATTTTCCTTCTCCCACTCTTTAACAAATGTCAAAAGAATGTCTCAGATGGGTTATCATCAAAAGACTGCTACCAGCAGGAGCCTTATTCTAAAAACCTGCTCCTTTCAGAGGCAAGCTAAAATATTTAAACAAATCTAACATTTGCAGAGGAGAGCTTTACAGGGGAGTGTACGTTCTGACAGAAACCTTGCTCACCGAATATTGCTGTTCAGTGTCATCTAAATTGATACCACTTCTGAGAAGCTGCTTTTGTACTATTTTGCAAACCCACCATACTCGGAAAAAAATAAGGCGTTAAAGTTTATTGTTCCTTTTCCAGGCTCTATTTAATTAAGGATTTCTTGTGCACTATTTGCTGCCAACGTTTTAACAAAGGTCTTCCAAAACTCTACTCTCCTGATCATCTAAGAAATCCCGTATTGCAGGAGGATGGACTTTTTCCACAGAAGAGAAGGGAGGCTGTGGAATGCAAAGCTCCAAAGCTTTTGGTAAGCTCCCTGAGAGCAGACCCTGACAGCTGTAGGACACTGCATGATCTTACACCCATTAGGGTCAAAACAGCATACTGCGGAGTCCAAGAATTACATGATTTTTTTCTCCTCTGTATCAAAATAAGACGGAACCATTTTAATACTTCAGCAGAAGAAGCAATTATTAGGTGACAACATTTCATTAGTAGCACATGAGGAGCATTGACATTTGTTCCTGAAACGTATAGATTACAAGTATCATCACAGCACTACGTCCAGCAATCAGAAGCTGCTACTACTATGCACCAAAAACTTCCATCCCTAAGAGAAAAAAGTTTGAAAACGTACTTAGTTGATTTAACCACACACCTAATGGATTGGTTTGCCAAAAAGCAAAAGAAGGGGTAGCCAAAAATGGTCAGCTCATCATTGTGCCAGAAGACTGGCCCAATCTTTCAATCAAAGTGGTCATAAAATTAAAAAAGGAAGTCCCAAGAATCTTCCTCTCTCACACTCTTAGAGAAAAGGCCTTTCTATATAAAGCTATTCTGAAAAAAACAGAGACAGATTACATATAATTCAAGATCACATTATAGTCTGATTTTTCATTGCTTGGATATGGTATTTACATAATCACATCAGGCAGTAACCTTCGCTGCAAGGGAAATTAGCATATCAAGAGGGCAATAACGTGGCTCCATTTTGTTGGCATAAAATCTCATTACACTGGTTTCCTTGAACACCAACTTTTCCTATTTTAAGTTATAAACTACAGCCTCTTTGTTAGGCTTCTGTGGCCTTTATATTACCAGAGGGCTACCTTAAGAAACATGGATCTAACTTGCAGCCCTTAAAGAAATTCTGGAGTTTTTCCCCTGACAACAGGTTAGAGGATAGTAGAAATACCACATACTCATTTTTCTACAATAGTGATAGATTTAAAAATATATATATGTATATTTCTATATGCTTACAGAGACCATTGACAATAAACAGCTTAAAAGAGACTAAAGAGATTCTTCTTCATCATTTGCAGGTGTCAAACACTACAGCAGCAACTCAGGCATCTGTACCTGGGAATCTAATGCCCACAAAGCTAGCAAAAATCTGGCTGGTAGATGTAATACCAGTCTTCTCAAAAATCCATCTCCTTCTAAAGCACAATCCTGCGGTCAGGCATGATACCTGTCAAACCTCCTTACTCTTGATCTCAAACAGGTTATCTAAGATGCATGCTGTTAAAAATGTTTAAATGAGCAAAAGGAGGAACCATTACTGAAACCAGCAGAAGTCTCCCCTTCTCTTTTAGGTAAGAGAAGGTTTCATTTCTTTTTTAGGTTTCATTACCTGAACAATAAATTCTGCACAGCAAATTAGATATGTAATGTGTAAACAATTTTACTGTCTTTTTACTGTCTGATTTGTGAGCCATACAAAGCACAGCCCTCATGTGATTGAACTCATTTCATAGTAACCCTTCAGAAGATTTTGCAATGTAGAGGTCCTTATTGCCTGGTTTGTCTAATCCTTGACCAGAACAGGACCAGAAAAAACAATGAGAAACTGAGAACAAAGACGGCCTTATACTTCTGTATCTTTCCTGAGCTTCAGGAAACCCAGATTTTAATGTACCTACCAATTAGTCTAACACAAGGGCTCACAAGGTACATAAGGAAATGAGAAGCATTTACTTCTTTTTACTTCCAAGATCACTTTCATGACAGTCTAACAAGCCATAGACTGCTGCAGAAGAAGTGACTTCCTAGGACTTTCCATTGCATACTTCTGCTGGAGATCTGCAGAGCAGCTAGAACATAGCCAAGAACTAATACCAACGTTTTTAGGCATAATCCTATGTGGCAATATCGTTTTCTAGAAATAAGTGTACATGCTAGAATACTGAAGGAGAAACGCCTATAACAAGAAGAATCTATAAAAAAGAAAAAGGTGTTTGAAGTTCAACATTGCTTTACAATGTCTGTGTAGCAGAATACCTTCTATGTCTTCTAAGAGCAACAGCGAATTGAATTAGGAAGAAAACCTGCTGTTACTTGAATCAAAACCAGAAGTGATAAAATTTCATTTTAATGCATTTGCATAAAGCAGTTTAAGTACATTTACAATGACATATTAGGGCTCTAAGCATTGAACACAGCACATGCATCACCAAAAACCCCTACAGTCGCAATTTCATAGTTAAATGCACTGCAGGAACCCAAACGTCTCTTTTTGATGGCTTACTTTAATTTACATCTTCCTCTTCCCCCAGAGAGACAAACTGTTATAATAAGTCATTAAGTGGCTATGTATGTACCAACATACAGCCTTTACAGTAGCAACTAGAAATAAAGTGCCAGACAGCATCAGTAAATACTAATATTTTTGGCTTTGTTACTACTTAAACAAAGCATAAAGAATGTGTGTGACTCATCAAGTGTCCTTCTCCCCCATTGCCAAATCTCTGCTTCTGCTCACATTTCCTCTGAACCACTCTAGGATGTAGCTCAGCTGCTCTCTACTGGCCACTTGAGAATATTGTCCGATCGTGAAAGCAATCCCCTTTCATAATAATGAAATCAAATCATCAGCAATTAGTTTTTGTCTTATAGTCTACCTTTTCATTCCACAACCCTGTTCTGAATGAAGCTGCCAGTACTGTAGATGCACACGGATTTCTTATAAAAACTGTTAGTCACTGATACTGCTCAATAGCAAATTCATTCTTCAAACAAAAACATAAATGCTGCACAGTGGTATCAAATCTCTCAAGTAGACTTGAAATGTCTGAGTAAAGACTTAAGAAATTATTACAGACAAGTTATTTCAAAATCCATTCAAGATCATTATTTTAAAAGTTTCATCGATACAGTTTCTAGATTCTGCCCCACAGAGAGGAAGTGTTCTGAGGACCATGCTGGCACTAGAGTTCTCTCTAATACGTACAAACTGCTGATTTGCACCCCTGGATACCTCACAGGTTTCCTGTTTGTGTACAAGTGTGCTGCTAAAGTATTGGTTTTCTGAAAAGGCCCTAGGTGGCTGCCTCACAAATGAGTGCTCTGCCACTCATCAGCTTAAATCAACACACACATTACGTCCTGCTGTAGCCATCATTCTTAAAGATGTAGCTTCAGAGCTGGAAACAGATCTTCCCAGAATAGCTCTTTTTTTTTTTTTAAAGCTAACCAAAGCATGCGTCAACTACTAATTTTTGAACAGGTATATATATGCATGTTAATTTAATAACAAATACAAGCCTCAAACAGCAAATTTGGAAGTCCTCCCTGAAGAGTAACACCTGTTCAGATTAGCTTCTTAACTGAAGTCGTTCTGTTCCTTGGGCACAAGAAGAGGAAAGCATGTCAGCACAACGAAGGGAACATTGCCTGTGATGCCTCTCCTCTCCAACAGCAGCATGCATTTCTTCTACCTGCCTTTTGTGATGCGATTACACAGCACCATGTGCACCAGGAATATTTATAGATCCATCATGAGTTTTCCCCTTGGGGGAGGATGACATCATTTTTGTGATAAACATATTTAATACCTCTTACCACATCACTGTAAGGCACTCAGGTGCTAGAGTGATGAAAGAAGGATGACTATGTATTGATAAAAGCAGTCAAGTTAGGCTTTCTCCAGAATAACACGCAAAAGGTAACACATCACACAGAAGTCTTTAAATCCTTTGAACTAAACTGAAAAAAGCTAGAATTATTCATGCCCTTTCTACCTGATTAGTTGAATTTACTACACCAATTTCGGTAAATTAAATATTGCTCATAAGAAATAAACAGGACGTGGCTTCTTTGTTGCCTATTGTTAACAGCTTGTAAAGGATTAAGATTTTGGATTTAGAGGCAGAACTGTACTGCAGGCGTACAAACAACTCATGCAGAAATAAAAACATTTCCTTCAGGATGATATGTTAAAGAGGTTTCTGCTTCTATTAGCTAACTAGGAGATATTTCATTTTATATATTTCCAAAGTTCCCCACCATCACCAAAGAAACTTTACATCCTTTGGAACAACTTAGTATAAACAGTATTTGTAATCTGTTCCCAAAGGATTTTGAAATAAATGAAGAAAAGTCTTTTTAAATAGAAAATTTAAAAATAATTTAAAAGAAATCTACCCCAAATATTCACACAACAATGACGTTTTACTCTTCATACTCATTTTTAGGGACTAAAATTTAGATGCCTTGAAAGAATTTTTAGAAACGTTGACTCAACAGGACCTATGATTCCTCAAATTATTTGGCATATGGGAAATTAAAACACATCACTTATAAAGATATCTAATATATATGTTTATAAGTACACCACCTCAGATATCCAAGCCAAATGCTCTACAGAACCACCACAAATCAACAAAAACATACCAGTGAGAGGGGGTTTATGTGAATGCAGGCTGCAGGGTATGCTGACAATTAATTTATGTTCTGGAATTGGAAGTATGTCTTCAGATTTCCTGTTGTATAAACCAGAAGAAGAAAAGAAGCATGAGAATATATACCACCAAATGGGGTGCACATAGCTCTCACAGAGCTACCTCAGATAACAAGCTGTGGTCATTCACCATCAAACTTCAGGTAGGTGTAAGGGCAGTTAAATGTTGCTCACTCATATTGGGTAAAAGGAGTTTCTGAAATCCACAGAGGCTTTAGCCAAAACATGGTTAACAATGGCCATGCAAAGCCATCTAGGACAAGCACTACAGTCCTGTATGTTTTCATGTATAGGAAAACACCAGCAACCCCAAAATGGCTTCAGCTTGTGCTAAGGACTCATGCTCAAATGGAACTTGTCAGCAAAGGAAGCCCACACAACTTTTATTTGAGTCAGTTCCCCAACACAGACAGACGTAAGGAACAGGCAAAGCATTCTGTCCCTTAATCTCACTAAAGAACTCCCTCACCCCAAAGCCATCCAAAAGATGACGTCAAAAGGAGATTTGGGGACATAATACTGTGTTATGAACAAGTGACACACAAGTAGTGACACACAGCAGCCTCAAAAAGAGACGTGTACCATTGTCTGGCATACCTTTGGGCTTCCTTCACGCTTCCTTGAACTCTCCCCAGTATAAGAACTTCGTATGGCTTTTTGTGGAAAGAATCCAAGGGTAAAACAAATTCTCCAGATCTAGTAATCTGACACAAAGGAGTTAAAGATGCACAGTGGAAAATTTTCATATCTGATTCTCCCAACAAGACACCTTTTTTAATAAAAAGGAAGACATTGACAACACTACACCTTTCAATAGAAAAGCACCTAGTAATAATGGACTGATTTATTAAACTACTGAAGTATCACAGTGCAAGCCCTCTCAGTCTCCAAGAAAGAAATAAAGCAAACTGAGAACTTACTTTTACCCAGTGCCACTCAGCAAGCGTTTTCACGGACCAATGAGGATAAAGTTCATCCTTAACAAAACGCAAGTGCTTCTGTCTGTTAGTCACCCACGTGACGATAAGACAATCTGGCGCAGCCAGTGCTGCTACAGGAATCTGCTTGATTTGCCATGAAGACAAGTGGCTGTATCTATACACCAATACAATGAGAAAGCAAGTTAGCACCCACCAAAAATAAAAATTGCAAAGCAACAAAAACGGATAAGGAAATTACACTGCCAAGATGCTTTAAGAAATATCTTCCGACAGCAGAGGAATTCATAAACAACAGGTCAAGAGTGACACCCAGTGGCCAAATCTGTTGGATTCCGATATAAAATCATTACTTAAAGTTTTACTGAGCAGAACCTATAACTACCTATTTCTTCTATTCCCCCAATTTAACTATTATGATATTAGCTCTTTGCTCTAGTCAACGTTATTCACTTTTCATACTAAGCTATCTATCCTCTGAATGAAAATGAGGAGTGAGTCATTTACAAGTGCAAGGGCAAAACTTCTTTGACTGGCAAGTTAAATGGTCACAAAAGAGTAATCGTTTGTTGGATATTAGGAAGAACTTCTTTACAGAAAGGGTTGTGAGGCATTGGAATGGGCTGCCCAGGCAAGTGGTGGAGTCACCATCCCTGGAGGTCTTTAAAAGACGTTTAGATGTAGAGCTCAGTGATACGGTTTAGTGGAGGACTTGTTAGTGTTAGGTCAGAGGTTGGACTCGATGATCTTGAGGTCTCTTCCAACCTAGACAATTCTGTGATTCTGTGATTTCTCCAACTATGTGAAAAAGTTATTAATGATTTTAAGTTTCTGTGGGTTGTTATTCAGAGGACCAGTTCTGCATGTTTTTGAGTGAACTGTCTTCTACATTGGTGAATACAAGTATGCATTCCCAGATTCTGTCCTGTTCTACCATATTTCTTCTGATGTTATTCTACATTTTTAACAAGTTGCAATTTGTGAAACCTACACATTACAGCATCACAAACATTGGCACACTGCTTACTGGAATCCACAGCCACCGTCTGGGCACCTGGGATCCCTATACAACGCAACAGCAAGAACACGAGAACCAGGTAACAAGAATGAAATCCAAAATACCTTCCAGACTATATCACTCAGAGAAAACAGGATTCACAACCCAGATGTGAAATGCTTAAAGATTATCCATCAATAAGGTAACTAATAGCAGTGACAAAGCCACCTTTTGGCTTTATTTTTAAGGGAGAGAGGGTCTAGATGGCTAATTCATCTTTGTGAATTTATACAATTTTCCTTTGAGTAATTTGTATAGGTAAGAAATACACTTGAATGACTTTCACTAAGTTCCTAGAGGTTTCTGTAGGGCTTTTAATGTAAAACCTACTAGTCAATCTGTGCATCTGAAATTACATCTTCATAGCACGTTTAAAAAGTTACTGCAGGTATTATTCTGGAAAGTTACAAGGCTGTATTTTCCCCTTGTCCTTCTTTTTCACATGGATGCAGTTCTATGGTAATCAAGGGAGCTCCACTGGCATACACTTGATGTTACTCAGTAGAAAAAGAGGCCCATAAAGTTCTAAGTTAATGACTTCATAAAGCACATTACTCTGAAAGTTCCTATTGCGCTTGAGGATTTTACTGCTGCATTATCACTTTCTCTTCTCCTCAGACTGAAGCTCAAATTAAAAAGAAATTAAAAAAATAAACAACTAGGTCTTCTGAAGTGGACCTCAGTCCTAGAAATATTTGAAATATTTATCTAGCTTTATGTCCTCTAAAGTAACTCTATGAATTTCAAATGAGTATCTGCATGACCTAGACCTTAAAAAACAGTAGACTCCAAGCCTTCCTTAGAAGTCTAGAGAGCTACTATTCTTTCACCATTTAGGTAGTTTAAGATTTACTCCTGCAAATATTTTGTAGGGGAAGTATTCAAGCCATTTCAGTAAAATCCCTGAGACGATTATTTGTCTTGAAGGTAGGTAAATGTCGAAATGCCCACTAGCAAAACTTTGCTAGTTTAAGCTACAATCTCACAGTTACATTCGTCTGCACTACATTAACATGTCAATTATCCATTATAAGCAGAAATGACAAGGCCTGATATTACAGTAAAACTTACCTGTTACTCCTTTTAACAGATTTGTTCTCCCATGGTGGATCAATCACTATTACATCGTATTTTTTCTTGTCTGGGAAGTAAAATTACAAAAATATATATATATATATATATCAAAGAAACCAGTAAGTTAAGTTTTAAAATAAACATACTAGTTAAAATTGATAAAGGTTTATACACCAACATACAAAATACCAACAACACTAGGCAACAAAGATGCAAACTTTCTTTTATTTCATTATTTGGAATAAAAAAGTTTAAAGACTTCTAGCACGCTTGTTTTAATTCAGATAATCATATACTTCTCATAGTTCTAAGCTGAGGAAAGAAAGTTTGTGTGAGTTGGGTGAGATTCCTCCAAGAAATGCTGAACCTCGTGGGGAATTTCAAATAAAAATCTGAAGTACAATTCCCCAAGACATGAAAGCTTTTGCAGATTTCCTGAAAAAGCGATGTAATAAGGCATCCAGCTGAGTAAAACGTTGCAGCACTGAACACGAGTTTCCTGTGCTGTCTGATCTTTCAGCAGGCCAATTTGGACATGCAGAGCTCCAAATCAGCCCTGAAAAACAGCATGTTTTATGCTACTTGAGGTTAAGAGACATTGTGGGAAATTGAAAATAGTGGACAATAGAAAGAGAAATCTTGGGGAAAAAAAAAATCTGAAGCCAAAGCATTATATTAATATTCACTGTTGGTTACTTAAAAGGCATTTTCTAAAATTTCTTAGAGTGCTGTCTGATCTTCAGGAGAAGCCAAACCTGCTACAGTGCACAATTGTGACTCAGAAAATGGTTATTTCTTCCCCCCAAAAAGCCAACTGGCTAAAATTTGGACTTGAGACATAGAATCGTTACTTCAATAACAGGATACCATCTCCCACCTGCCTTATTAATTTAAAAAATATATATATGAAACAGCAATCATCTAAGTTTAGTATTAGACTGGAGGAAGCAAATATTGCTCACAAATCCAAAATTACTGGTTAGAGGATAGAGCGGTAATCCCTAGCTCCTACTCACAGGCAACATCTTTCCTAAAAGACTGCTTGATAAAGCTCAGCTGAAGGTAAAAATAATAATAAATAATTTATCGGTAGTAGTAGTCAAACTGAAAGCAAATGAAATGATTAGCCCCCAGAGAAGGGCTACGAAGCTGGTGAAGGGCCTGGAAGTCCTGTGAGGAGCAGCTGAGGGAACTGGGAGTGTTTAGTCTGGAGAAGAGGAGGCTCAGGGGAAACCTTGTTGCTCTCTACAGCTACCTGAAAGGAAGGTGTGGGGAGCTGGGGGTCAGCCTCTTTAAGCAGATAACTAGCAATAGGACAAGTAGAAATGGCCTCAAGTTGTGCCAGGGTCAGTTCAGGTTGGAAATGAGGAAACATTTCTTCTCAGAGTGGTTAAGCATTGGAATGGGTTGCCCAGGCAGGTGGTGGCATCACCGTCCCTGGGGGTGTTCAAGGAAAGGTTGGACATGGTGTCTGGGGTCATGGTTTAGTGGGTGATATTGGTAGTAGGGGGGTGGTTGGATCAGATGATCTTGGCAGTCTTTTCCAGCCTTGATGATTCTATGATTCAGTTTGGTGAAGACTGCTGCATGTCGTCAGGTTAAAGCTTTTTGCTTGACCAATCAAGGTTGGGGACCACTGGCTTGGATAGCTTTCAACTTACTCGTACAGAGGAGGTATTAATCCTAAAATCCCACCATTTCCCTGTCACTGGCTTAAGCCAATACTCTTGTCAGTGAAATATATCAGCTGAGAAGTCAGCTCATGTTTGGTACTCCTGTTCCTGCTACAGTGGTTTTCACCTCCAGCTGGGTGCAGCAGCCTTCGGAACTGTTGTCATCTCAGTGGGACACTGGAGTTGGTTTCACAGTCGAGTTAATGCCAGTCTATATAAACACTGCCGCCGTACAGGATGAAGCTGAAAGGGAATGCTTGCTTTAAACCACATAATCCTAGGCCTGTCTCATATCTAATCCATCTGAAGACCAAGACAGCAGGAACAGCCTTCCAGCAGCAGCATGCTTTTACCTATGTTAAAGCCCCATCCCAAGAGATAGGACTCATGAGCAAAGACATCAAAGTGTGTGGTGTTGTCAGAAGGCTGGAGGGCAGGGATGCCATCCACAGGGAGCTGCACAGGCTGGAGAGGTGGGGCTGTGCAAACCTCGTGAGGATCAACAAGGCCAAGTGCAAGGTCCTGCACCTGGGCCAGGGCAATCCCAGCACAAACACAGGCTGGGTGGAGAATGGATGGAGAGCAGCTCTGAGGAGAAGGACCTGGGGGTGATGGTTCATGAGAAGCTCAATATGATCTGGCAGTGTGTGCTTGCAGCCAAGAAAACCAACTGTATGCTGGGCTGCATCAAAAGAAACGTGGCTGAGGGAGGTGACTCACTGCCTATACTCCACTCTGAGACTGCCACTTGGAGCACTACATTCAGCTCTGGGGCCCCCAGCCCAAGAAGGATGTGGATCTGGTAGAGCAGGTCCAGAGGAGGGCCACAAAGATGGTCAGAGGGCTGGAGCACCTCTCCTATGAAGAGAGACTGTGAGAGTTGGGGTTGTTCAGCGTGGAGAAGAGAAGGTTTGGGAGAAACCTTATAGCAGCCTTCCAGTACCTAAAGGGGGCCTACAGAAAAGCTGGGAAGTGACCCTTTGTCAGGGAGCGTAGTGTTAGGACAAGGGGGAACAGCTTCAAGGCTAGGATTAGATTAGACATTAGGAAGAAATTCTTCACTGTGGTGGTGTTGAGGCAGTGGCACAGGTTGCCCAGAGAAGCTGTGGATGCCCCATCCCTGGAGGTGTTCAAGGCCAGGTTGGATGAGGCTGTGAACACCCTAGTCTAGTGAACCACAGAATGGTTTGGGTTGGAAGGGACCTTAAAGATCAATCCCCCAGAAATGGGCAGGGATGCCACGCACTAGATCAGGTTACCCAGGGGCATCCACGACTTCTCTGGGCAACCTGTTCCAATGCCTCACCACCCTCACTGTAAAGAACTTCCTCCTAACCTCTAATCTAAATCTCCCCCTTTTAATTTAAAACCTTTCCCCCTTGTCCTATTATTATCCATCCGAGCAAAAAGTTGCTCTCCTCTTTTTTAAGCCCCCTCTAAGCAATGAAAAACTGTATTAAGATCACCCTGGAGCCTTTTCTTCAGGCGGAACATCCCCAGCTCTCTCAGCCTTTCCTCATAGGAGAGGAGCTCATTTAACAGAAGAGGCAGATGTATCCCTTCCAATGGCAGAGGGGATGGAACTAGGTGATCTTTAAGGTCCCTTCCAACCCAAGCCATTCCATGATTTATGATAGCTATTCCTAATTTAATGCATTTACGTGACTTCTAGACCCACTACGGTTCAGAACACACTCACCAGCTGCTGCATTCTGAGTTTCACGTAAAATACCATGACTGAGATTTTCAAAGGAAACTGGACACTAACGAATAAGCTCCCCATAACACAGGCTCCTCACTCCATTCAAGACTCCTGTGAAAACCCCCACCTACCTGCACAAAGTTAAAAACACCACTTTGAAAGCTTGTATGTTAAGAAAACAGTTCCTTAGTTATCTTGACAATAACCCGCCTTCTCAGGCAGGGGACAAGTGATACATTCTAATGACTAAAGGTACTTACAGTTCAGCAGGGGCTGTAAACATGAAATATCAGATAAAAGGAAACTGCTTTTTGGTGGCACCAAGTACTTCTGCCCCATTAACACAACAATCTTCGCACAGTTTGAGTTGTTCTCTGTAACACACGAAAGCAGGTCCTGCTCTGGACTGGAGGTTTCATCGTCTAGCACATGCACGGCTGGATGGTCACTGTCATTTACAGCTGGAAACTGCTTTGCCATTTCACATAATTCAGCCAACCCACAGTCAATGTGCCCAGGAACAATGTTCTTCCCGCAACTGAGTTCTGTAGTAGCACGGTGAAGAAAACCACTTTTGAGTCCTTCTTGGACTAAATGCAAAGTGCCTTCCCAAATGAGCTTCCTGATCTGTATGGTCAGTAGAGAAAAAAAAAAAAATCTTTTGAGTATGTGTGGTATCATCAGGGAAATGAAACAGAAATCAAAACATTTTCAATTTGCAAAACGGGAGAAGAATTCTTGCCAAAAACTTAGATCATTGACTGAAAAGTTATGTGTGCATGCTAACTGCTGTTTTTTGATTGTTTGTTTTGGCAAAGTGGCAATAGTTGGAAGTCTGAAGAAAGATACCAAGGCTGATGAATAAAACATTTTACAGACAGAGGTGGAATACTATTGTTCTAAACAAGCACGAATGCATAAATTAAAGTTCTAATCTAATTTCACGCTACTGTCCACAAACATAACTTTCATTGAAATGTGTACTTGGCTCTAAAACCAGTAATTTCCAGGTTTTAAATCACTTTTAAAAGCTTAGATGTCTAATTACCGACTTAGATGTCTTATTATAGAGACAAAGTATGTCTTCAAGTTTAGGCTTCGAACAAAAGACAAATAAGACAATAAGACAAAAACCTCTTGATTCCTTCCCTTATTCTTATTGTTAAAGGGCTTTGTCTTAACTTGAAGGTTTACAATCATAAACCTATGTTTGATGTTGAACTTCAAAATTCTCTCATTTAAGGCAATTCTTTACATCCATAGCTTATTCACAGCAATACTTACAGGACATCTGCATCATAACATAGCAAACTACACATTTACTACAAAATTGCTGTCATGTAAAAGAAAAAAATTGCTTTTTAAATATAGTCTAGGAAGAATTAAACAAAAAGCCTAATATGACTACCACATTCAATAAAGAAAGGCAAGTAAGTGTAGGTCCCTGTTTAGATTCACATCACTACTTAGGAAAGCACAAGTAAACTTAATCTGTGGATAATGTTTGATGTATTCAAGATTTACTGTGATGTTTGAGTGATACTAGTTTCAGCAGCGCATCACTGACACAAGCCTTAATAGAGGTTTGAATTCCAATTCATTCACAATGCTTTAGTATGATTATGAAAATGTAAAATGTTTGAGAAAATAATTCTTTTCTCATTAGCAGAAACAAGACACCTTGGAGCACTTCTGGTCAGAGAAGCTTCAAATAACTTCAGCACTGTCCTGATACATTAAAAATGAGTCAATCTTCAGCACAGGTTATACTGCTTATTTCAAATCAGTCACTCCCTGTTCAACCAATATTCAACTCACCGGTGCATAAAGTTCAGTAATCCATAAACAAAAATATTCTGTGAATACAGCTTCCAGCTCTTTGAAATTTCTGAGCTACAGTTTGATGTCTAGTTTGTTTTTACATATATCTACCCAGCAGATATTCTCAGTATGCACTTAATTCATTTATGGACTGGAGAGATGACCTTTCTATTAGTGGAACAAGCTATAAAAATAGAATTTATTTGCAACGATGTCTTGCACGCCATATATAGCCCAAAATCAAGTATCACATACTCGCAAAATATACTCATATTTTTATATAAGTATATATTTTTATATTTTTTATACTTCAAACTTACCTTTGTATGATATTCTAAGGCATCCAGTTCACCTTGGTTGAATACACATTTCCTTTTACGTTTCTGCTGAATGAGCAATGAAAAAAACAACAAACCATATTACATCATAATGAAAAAATCAATAATCAAACATATATGAATAACAAATCAACTCTTTTAAACTGGACGAAGCTTTCCATCTTTTTCCTATCACAAGTATAAATCCAGTAAGCAAAATTAACATCTCAAAATGCCTAGCCTACTGCAGGCATTCTCATGACAGAAAGGCTTAACAAAGCTATTGCATTATTTGTGGCATTAGTGCATGCCACAGTTCACGTTCAGGCCTCGTTTGGGCTCACACTAGAAGGTATTTGTTCAGCTGCCAAGTTTACCAGTAACAGAACATTAAACAGGTCTTCCCAGTTACATTTGCTGGTTTAGACCTGTGACACTTTGGGGCTTTTTTGGTCCACAAAGAACAGTACTGAACAACCTACGTATTGAAAGTGAATTTGTACCGTCTTTCCCACCTTGTTAATCTGGACAATCATGACAACTACCACAAGTTTAGCTCGAGTCCATGATAACAACAACCATCAGAAGATTTCATGAGCAATTGACAGCTTTTGAGTCACAAGTTGAACATCCAGAGGGTGGTTGGGCACTGGGACAGGCTTCCCAGGAGCAGTGGTCACTGGCACTGAGCCTGCCGGAGTTAAAGAAGCGTTTGGACAATGCTCTCAGACATATGGTCTGATTTTCTGAGTGGTCCTCTGGGGAATGGAGGAGTTAGACTTGATGATCCATGCGGGTCCCTTCCAACTCAGATATTCTATGATTACTGACACAAGGAACCCAAGAATACCCTTATGAGTGCTAACATTTTTCATGCATCTTGAAATCTATTGTGGAAAAGCTCTTGATCTCCTCTGTAACTTCAGGAAACAGAAATTTGCAAGACAATGTTAATGTAGGTCAGTTACCTGGGGATTAGTGTAGGTTACTGTATTACAGAGAACATACCTTCCTAGCAACAGCAACAGAATCTTCACCACCACTCTTGGTTCCTTCTTGGGGTTCCTCTGCACTGCTGCTGGCCTTTATTTCTGCAAGACTCACCTCTGGATCTCCCTGCAACAGCTGCTGCTCAGGAGCTGCAGCTATGTGGGGCTTAGAAATGTCAAAGAATTCTTCCCGAAACACGTATCTTGTTTTAGCTGTTTTACCTTCTGTTTCTTCTACAGCATCTCCAAGACCAGGACTGTCTTTCGAGGAGGTGGCAGGAAACGTAGAAGCATCATGATATTCAGAAGAAGTGACAGAAGGACGGAGGGTGGCACCACCCGGGTTTGCAAGGGAGTCACAGATCTCATAGCCACACTGGTTGATGAAAGACAGATGATCCACGAGCCACCCTGCCCTCAGACGATGTACCACAGACATCACCGCTCCCCTCTTCAGGGAGAAAAATCAATTTCCTGAAACCGTAGCAAGCAATCATGCACAATTCCTGGCGAAAAGTCCTCCTGTGGAAATATTTTTTTATTTACTTTTAAAGAGTTCACTTTTCAGAATTATTATTGTTTAACAGAGTAACACCTACCTCGTGATGGACATCTCCATGTGCCCCAAAGAAAATCTACAGAAATTTCTTCTGATTTCCCTGTTAAAGCCTGTCTGATCCGTAGTGCACTCTCCTACAGTAAATTTGCATTTTATTATATAATCTTCTATAAATTAGTGTGGTGTATAATTATTTACTTTAAGATCCTTCTTTTCACAAGTTCGAAAACTGGCATTTTGCCGTATAAAGTTAACACTTTATACCACAGCGCTCAGCCATAAGAACACACGCATGCTTTACACGCTTGAAGAAAACCATCACATCTTGATGTATAGTTAAAAAAAATAAGATATGGTTAAAAACACAAGTACGTTTCACACGCTCTTGAAGAAAACCGTCGTATTTTAACGCATCTCTGGACCCTGCCCAGGTTTTCACAGACAGAAAATAAGTTGATCAGTAAGACTTTTATGGAGTAAATGGAGCTGTGAGAGCCTTGCAGCCTTTTGATAACGTTTTGACTTTTTTCCAAAAAGCTTTTTTTTTCTCCTGTCTCTTATAAAACAGGGATGGGTTGTAGTGCTTTGTTTTTATTTTTATTTTTTTTCCAAACAATCAGCCCACGAAGGACACGCGTCCCTCCTCCTACACCCCCCCCCCCGCGCCGTACGGCACCAGCCGCGGAGCGGGGAAGCAGCGCCGCGCCCCACTGCCTCCCTCACTCACCCTGCGCGCCGCCATCTTGTTGTACGGCAGCAGGCGGCGGCGCCGGCCGGAACGGCGGCGAGCTTCGCCCTGCCTTTTCCCGTGTGACGTCACGCGGCGGGCGGATTTGAAAACGGGGAAGAAGGAGGCGCCGCCGTTAGCGGTAACGGGCGGGCGGCGGCTGGGCCCGGGCCCTGCCCGGGGTGGGGGGCGCGGGGATGGGGGCCGCCATTTTGTTCGGTGGTAACGCGGCGGGGCCGGGTGCCAGCCGTTGGCCGGGCTCGCTGGGTGTGAAGGGGGAGGATGAGGCGGCCGCCCCCGGGAGATGAGGGCTGCGGCCCAACGTCTGCCCAGTTCGTGGCGTGTCGCGATTTATCGCGCGCTCGCGATCTCTTCTGGTGATATCTGAAGCGCAGGGGGCTGGTTAGGGGCTGCTCTGTTTGAGCCCCCTCTGTAAATAATATACGCCCTCTACGGAGGACAGAAGGTAACGCCTTTCACTAACTTTATCTATAAAGTTATTTTATTGGCTGCTGCTATGTGGCATCAGGTGTGCCTTGCTGCTTTTAATTCTTTAACTGTATTTTTAAAAGAAGCTAACGTGCCTAGAAACGGTTCTCCTGTTGCAAGTTTGTTGGTCCAATGTACAGTTGCACTTGCATATTCTGACCCCCTTAAAAAGTCATTGTGGTGTCTGCAAAAACGCGAGTATTCTCAGAGCCGAGACTCCACTACTGACAGATTGTGATTTACAGCTCATTCACAATGAGACGGAGCTCAAGTATTGCGGGGAGTAGTAGTCGGCAATCTACCATGGTACTGAGAGTGCAGGACAACAACAAAATGGGTCTTCAAACACCTCAGATGTAAGTGTTGTTGATCACACTGTTGCTAAGAATGTGTATGTGAAGCCTAAGTCCCTGAAGATGTGCTGTTGTTTGAGTGTGTGAGTAGACACTGGAAAAGATGGAAGCAGGGAGAAGAAAGCTCCCTGCAGCCAAGGATATCTGCAGAAGTACTCTGGTTGTGCAAAAAACCTCTTGCTTAACTCCAAACATATGCCTCCTACTGCTGGAGTGATTATGAGTTTAAAACTCTCTAGTTCTGCAAAACACTTTTTGGGGATTTTTTTATCTTTGGTTGGGGTTTTGTTTTCTTTGTCTGTAGATCTTTAAAACATAGAACTGGTGTCATACATGCATATGTGGTATGGTCAGCATATAACTTAAGATAAAACTTTGATCTACTTGTATGTCTGTGGTACGTTTCATGTTATAACACTTTTCCTTGCATATTTGTTAGAAGATGCTTGGGTGTATGTATAAAATGTGTACTTGTGAAACTTCTTGCAAAAGTAGTTTTAATAATGGACAAATAATGCATTAAAATAAGTTGATGTTTCTAAGGCACTGCTACACTATGAGTGTCCTTAGACTTAAATGAACGTACTTACAGTTTTGTGTGAGCAAAAGAGGAAATGGTAGAAATAGTCACTTTGATTCTTCTCCTTATCCCTCAGGAAAGACAGAGGAACGTTTGGGAAGCTGAGCATGAGCAAACCGATGTCTGGAGCTTCGGAAAGAAAAGTTAGCTTTTTTGGGAAGAGGTTTGACAGCTTTAGTTCTTTGTGCTGTAAATTAAAACAATAACAATCCCACGGCATCTTTTCTTCCTTGTCAGATTTTCACTACAGGCAGTAGTGGATCTGAGACCTTTCTGCACGCTGATCACTAAATAACAATATTGTGGAGGAGGAACTGATTTGAAATCTTTTCTTCCTCTTGGTATTTCGAGGGGAGAAGTATGCAATCCAGAATTTAAGAGCTGCTCGAGACATTAGCTTGTTTAAGGAAGAACAATCTACCTCAAAGCAGCCCTGGGACATGTTTTTATTAGCAGATTTTGATCAGTCTTACATTCTGACTATCTAGCTTTATTCTGTCTCTTCAGTTCAGGAAAACAATGTCTTCTGCAGAAGGATTTAAAAAAACAAAAATGCTAAGCCAAGATTAAGTGAGGTACTGATCTTGCAAAATAAGAATCATATCATTATTCTGTCTTAGTTTCTTTCCTCTGAGAGACAAACCTTCCAAAATCCTATCACCTTTCATCTTAGTTCATGGCTTTCTGTGTTCTGATATCTAGAAGTATCCGCTTTCATTGGATCCCACTGTTCCAAGGAACCTTTTAAATACTCCTTGAATGTTTTAGTTTTTATTTTCAGCCACCTACATTTTGTTTCTTCACCTTTTAGTTTATTTTTCTGCTTTATAAAACACTTCTGTTTAATAAATTGAAGAAAATATTAATCTAGGAAGTAGTAATCCTTCTGTATGTGGGCAGCGTGGCTTCCAGATTGATGTTTTGTTATCTTAGTTGTATTCCTTTGTACAACAAATGTAAAAGAAACATTAAAATATGTATATATATAGTAAGGACTTACCGAAGAACTGTTTCTGTTTGTTGTCACAGGAAGTGTAAATATTTTTTTGTTCTTAGAACTAGTGGGGCTGGAGGTTCACGCAACAGTCAGTATGGTGTGTTTGGAACAGAAAAGATCAAGGATCCCAGGCCAGTTAATGACAAGGCATTCATCCAACAATGTATCAAACAGCTTTGTGAGGTAACTTGTTAAATTTTAAAATAATTATGTTATTAGGCATAAAAACAAACTAATAAAGATATATTGTTTTCATGGTTTTGACTTCAGATTTTATTTTAGACTAATATGTTACTTTACATATCTTTTTTCTCAGTTTCTTGTTGACAATGGTTATGCCCATAATGTCTCCATGAAAACCCTACAGTCTCCATCTGCAAAAGACTTCTTAAAAATCTTCACTTTTATCTATGGATTTCTCTGTCCTTCTTATGAGCTGCCTGACTCGAAATTTGAAGAGGAAATTCCTAGAGTTTTTAAAGAGCTTGGGTAAGATTCTTATTGTTACTGTGCAAAACAGATATGGCAATGCTAGAAGTTAATCCCAAGGACTCTGAACTACACCTGTAAAGAATGGATAGGCTTCTTTATTCAGATTCAGCTATGAAACTACAATGTTGTGATTATTTTGCTTCACTTTTTTTGTATAGCTCTAAGTTTACTCACTTGTTTCAAGATTGTACATTTTCTATTTGAAGTTGCAAAGCTACTTCTGCTCTTGGAAGCTTGCTTTGTAAATTAAAATGTAATTCATAACCTTTATTTGTATTGGATTTTGAAAGACCACTTTCTTGAATGAAAACTGCAGGCTTTGTCTTAATTGGTAGCTTATGACAGACTTTTCAGACACATTCTGATCAAATCCAAGCACTGAAAACAATTTCAGATTGTTGGCTCCTGTTCATTTAGTTAATAGTCATTTTTTCCTGTAAGTTCTTTCATTATGCATTTCAAGCAGGGAACAGAATTATTAAAAATGCTGCTGAGGTTAAAACACCACCAAGTAGCTGGGTATTTTATTTCAAATATTATTTGATACAGTAAATGTTTGGTATCATGAATGCACCAACACTTTCCAAGAAGAAAAATCCACTGCACATAGTTAATGTTTAATTTTCAGTCTCAGAAAAGTCAACTGCTTTCAGCTTCTGTAGACTTGAATCCATGATGGTGTGCCAGGGTTCCGTAGGTGTATTCATGTCTGTTCTGTTTACTTCTCAGTATTTTAATAAAGCTTTGTTTTAATCTGTAACATATGAAACTGCTGCCCTAGCTGAAATATTGAAAAGGAAGTGCTCTCAAGAGGCCTTATTCTGCTGCACCAAGAGCGTAATCCCTGATTAAAAGTTATTTTGAAAACTCACTTTAAAAAGTCTTTTGAGAGCTAGAAAATTGATGTAAATAATTCATTTTTAAAAAGTCTTCAAGTTGAGAGGTTCATGAGCATTTATTTGGAACTGTCACTATATCAGTGGCTTCTTGTCCTATGCCCTTACAATGACTTGCAGCTGTCGGTTGAAAGATGGAATAACATTGGTACTTCTGTTCATTGATTTGTAGAAGACTTTGAGAGGATGCCTGTAGTTAGTAGTATTGCCTTTGCGTGTCCCGTATTTATGGGTAATATTAATACTTTGATATTAAGCTGTCCTGAAATTGTTTTTTCTGTTATTGCGTGGCCCAAAGCTTTTTTGTCAGGTGCTCTTCTGTTTTCAAAGTGCATTTGACCCAAGAGGTAAGGATCTTGCTTTATAAGAATAGGACTCCTGCATCTCAGTTGTTGTTCTCATGTGCTAGGAACTCCAGGCTTGAACATCCAGTGGACTAAGCATCCACCAAACTATTATTCCCTCTTTTGTGTTTGTTGTCTTCCCTTTTGAGGTCTTTGAGAAAGACAATCTGATCTAAGACACTTGCTACCAAGACCCAAGGCAACATAGTAAACTCTGTAGGAAAGGACTAAGAATCTAATAGTGCACGCTTCTTTGTATGAGGCCCTAATTGTTCCTTGTCTCTGCCTATGAAAAAGAAAAAGCATT